CTATTACCAAGATCCGATTAGTTTTTTATTCCGGTTCAGTGTTGGTGCTCTACCGGAAACTCGGGACATTGTTCTTTAGTATGCCTGCCCCCCCCCATCTCTCTATCTCGCTGTTTTGATCCCGATTAACACCTTCAGTTTGAGCTCTCAATACCTCAGACATCTTGTTGTTCACCCAGAATCGCTGCAGTAACTATTATGTTTGTTTGTCAATGGGACTGCCTGTTCTGTCACGGAATGCTTTTGACGTTGTCACGGCCGATTGTGTGACCAGTTTTTCTTTATATCCTGATTGATTCAAGCGACCGGTTCGATACGTTTCGCTATTCGTTACGACACAAGTCTCTTCTACAATATGAGTAAAACTCAGTGCATGCTTCACATTTTTTCACGTCCACCTGACTATAACCGGAGCAAAATCTAAGTACAACCTCTTGATTACAATAAACAGACAATCAACAATGATGTGCACAAATTGAGCAATTTGATAAATCGAGAGATAAATCCTTTTTGTTTTGTGGCGTGTTTCACTTAAAACCCGAGGGACTTTGTTTGCTTCTAACTAAACTAATAAAAAAGACATGTCATGAGAGCAAGAAGAAGCATCATAATCACAGCCGAATGTGTTGAATTCAACTATTTCGTGATAATCTCATCAGCCATGTACAAATACATTCAGATCGTGTTTGATTAAATGAGTGACAGATTTGGGGGCCATTGATTAAACTAGAACAAAGTGGGACCGCCTAAAATAAGCTGTTTTTGTCACCATACCGTTTCAAGGTGATCAAAATGATAGGCGGATACAGCGCAGATTGAAACAAGCGATTGAACGAACGTATAACACTGCTTCCTTCGTAACACTGCACTACACGAAGCGAATGCTCATTGAATCCAATCTAGACAACCCGAACTCTTCAGTTACCTCCTCCTGTGTTTACCTATTTCAATGTACTCGCGGTAGCAAGTACGTCGGAAGAACTTGGAGACGATTATCTACCAGGATAGCAGAGCATGCACCGAAGGATTTGGAGTTTAACGGACCCACGCTTCCGTTGAGTTCAATCACCCAACTTATACTGGATTGCAAAGAATGTGACAAACCTAGGGACGCCTTTCGTGTCTTGATCCGCCAGAAATGTAGCTTTCTACTACGGTTCGCTGAAGCAGTTGCCATTCGACCCTACAAGCTTGATTTATGTAAAAAGACCGAATTCGTAGAGAGTCTGGCACTGTCCGCTGGTAGGTGTCACTGTCCTCCTCCCTCTCTCCCCCCCACCCTGCAGTGATTCCGCTCCCTACCCCAATGTCCAATCCGGTTCATATTAGTGGCCTTTGGCCTTCGTATTGATTAATTTCTCTTCCCCGTGCGTGTTCGCCTATCCCCAAACCTGTCACTTTTAACCAAACGTGATCCGGATGTATGTACACAGCTGATGAGATTGCCACGGAATAGTTGAATTCAACACATCCTGTGATCATACGATGCTTCTTCTTGCTCTCATGAAATTGTCAAAGGGAACTGGTTGCATGAGATAAAATATCACCCATGTACAGAATTTATCATATTCGACTTTATCCAATCTTTGCTCCTCGGTTTTTTATCCCACTCACATCCATATCTCTGAAAAAAAAACGAAACAGAACGAACTGATAGTACA